GTGCTCTCCACCTTTTCTCTCTGTCTGTCATTGTCTCTTTCTTCATTTCTTTGTTCTGCCGTTTCTTCATTTTGTTCTTATGTTTTTTTTCGTTCTTTCTTTCTTTCTTTCTTTCCTTCTTTCTGGTTTATTCTTTCTTTCTTTTTTTATCTCTTTCTTTCTTGGTCTTTTCTCTCTTCGTTTGTTTAGATATATATATATATATATGCTATCCCCCCCCCCAAGATCGACCATTTTCTGTGTTTTGAGAAAGATGCGGCGCATTATTGCAAGACACAGATGTGCGTATGCTGGGGTCGACATTCAAGTGCAGTGTTGTTGAGGACGGTTGCAAAATTGCGCACCTGCCAGGGGTTCAACGCTGCAAGGCTTTGCAAAACTGCAGCCCCTGGCAACCTGAAGTTTCAAAACTTCAAGAGTTTCCAAGACACTGCCCAAGCAAGGCTGCCAAACTACAGACCTGGCAAAGCAAGTCTGCTAAACTGCAGGCACTGCAGGCCTTGTTTGCAAAACAGACTTGGCAGGGCTTCAGCTCCAACACTGCAAGGCTTTGCAAAACTGCAACCCCTACCAACCTGCCAAAGCACTGCCCAAGCAAAGGTGCCAAACTACAGACCTGGCAAGGTTGCAAAATTGCCAACCTGCAAGGTTCCAACACTGCAGGGCCAGCTCCAACACTGCAAGACTTTCCAAGCAAGTCTGCTAAACTGCAGGGCCCTGGCAAGGTTCCAAAATTGCCAACCTGCAAGGGCTCCAACACTGCAGGGTTGCAAAACTACAGCCCTTGCCAACCTTGCCAACCTGCCAAAGTTTCAACACTGCAGGCTTCCCACTTGCTGCAAGGTCTGCCAAACTACAAATAAGGCTGCAAAATCCAAACTGCAAGGCTCCAACACTGCAGGCACACCCAACTGCAAGGCTTTTCAAGCCTGCCAAGCAGTCTGCTAAACTGCAGAGCAAGGTTGCAAACTACAACCTCTTGCTAACTCAACACTGCAAGACTTCCCAAGCAAGGCTGCCAAACTACAGACCTGGAGGTTGCAAAATTGCAAATCCAATCTGCAACCAACTGCACCAACACTGAACTACAGACAAGCGAGTTCAAACAGAAGTTCCAACACAGGCCTGTTTGCAAAACAAACTTGGGAGCTCTGTCTGCCAAAGCTCCCACACTGCACGGAAGGCTTGAAACTTGGTTGCTGGCCCAGCGCAACATTCCACAATTTCCAGCAAGGCTGCCAATCTGCAGGGCAAGGCTGCAAACAACTGCAACCTGCCAACCTGCCAAGTTTCAATACCCTGCCATGGGTTCTTGCCACCTGCTACAAGAATTCCACTACCAAACTGGCACTTCCAGCGCACTGCCCAAGCAAGCTGCCGAACTGGGTTCCAGCTCAAAACTGCAACCCACTTGGCAAGAGTTGAACACTCAGGCCACTGCAAGACTTGAGCGCCTCACCTGCCAAAGTTTCAACACTGCAGGCTTCCCTGCTGCCCTGGCAAGGCTGCCGAACTACAGGCAAGCAAGGCATTTCCAACAAGAGTTCCAACACTGCAGGCCTTGGTTGCAATACAGCCTTGGCAGGGCTGCAAAACTGCAGCTCTGTACGCCAAAGCTCCAACACTGCAAGGAAGATGCTCAGGGGCGAAGGGCAAGAAACCCATGAAGCTGCAAAAACCTCGCAGAAATCAAAAAATCAAAAAATCAGGGTCCGAATGCCCAGGTCAGAATCGGGAAAAGTGAAAAACCTCGAGAAAATCAAAAAAACACAAAAATCAAAAAAAACAAGGCCTTGAGAGAGATAGTCACTGGGTCTGGGCATTCTGTTCCAGGACCTTGATTTTTTTGATTTTTTTTGATTTCTTCGAGGTTTATTCACTTTCCGAGATTCTGACCTGGAAAAATGAAAAACCTCGAGAAAATAAAAACAAAAAAATAAAACAAATCAAGGCCTTGAGAGAGATAGTCACTGGGTCTGGGCATTCTGCTCCAGGACCTTGATTTTCTGATTTTTTTTGATTTCTTCGAGGTTTATTCACTTTCCGAGATTCTGACCTGGAAAAGTGAAAAACCTCGAGAAAATCAATAAAATCAAAAAAAGTCAAGGCCTTGAGAGAGATAGTCACTGGGTCTGGGCATTCTGTTCCAGGACCTTGATTTTTTTGTTTTTTTTTGATTTCTTCGAGGTTTATTCACTTTCCGAGATTCTGACCTGGAAAAGTGAAAAACCTCGAGAAAATCAAAAAAATCAAAAAAATCAAGGCCTTGAGAGAGATAGTCACTGGGTCTGGGCATTCTGTTCCAGGACCTTGTCTTTTTTTGATATTTTTTGTTTTTTTTTGATTTCTTCGAGGTTTATTCACTTCCCGAGATTCTGACCTGGAAAAATGAAAAACCTCGATAAAATAAAAAAAATCAAAAAAAAAACAAAAAATCAAGGCCTTGAGAGAGATAGTCACTGGGTCTGGGCATTCTGTTCCAGGACCTTGATTTTTTGTT